GTGTTGTTCTGTTGTCAGGGGCGAGTGAAATGTTGAGCAAAGCTGAGAACAAAATCCATCTGCCTACATTCCACTGCTTCTGTTATTTCAGAACTTCAGCCCATTTTAAAATTGTATGTATGGTATAACTTTATAAGTTTTAATGCACATTCTTGAAGTAAATATCATTTTTATCCCTCATGCAAGACAGTTATGTATGGGATGGCTTATCCATGCATTATCTCCAAACTCTAGCTTGAGGAGTTTGGGTTATTAGGGTAAAAAACCAGCTTTGTTACTTGACTTAACTTTTTTTTTTTTTTTTCAGTGATGCATTCATGGAAGAAAAAAGTTATTTAAAAAATGACTCTGTTATATTAACACTTGCAATCCTGACAATCTTTTCTGCAACTTGTGCATGGCTTTTCTCAGAGATCTCAATGTTATGGAGAGAAAAGTGTAAACAACAATTAATGGCATTGAAAATATCAAAATTAAACTTGGATGTATCAAATCTTTCTTACAACATTCAGTAAAAGAGAAACTGAGTAAAGATATAGCTGAATTTCAGAATAGTAGACCACTTGTCTGTACTGTTTCTGTAACAGCTATAATTGATCAGAAATTATTTATTGTGTTTTATTGAAAGAGATCTTGAGCATTAGTAAATATTGCTAAGAATGAAAAAATGATCATGTTACTATAATGTGTCTTGGCTTACTAACTGTGTAGGACAAGAAATTCAGGTAATCTTTCCAATGTATTGGTAGACTTGTGCAGGTGATGCATGGTCTTTGAGACTGATGTAAAATCCACTGTATTGGAATATAAAAGAACTGTGACAATATTTGTCAAACTTAAAAACTGAGTCTTTAAAACCATCAAAAATAAAACAAAGCATAAAACTCTATTATTTAGAATCATATGCAGTCAGGAGGTCAACATGTGCAAAGACAGCCTGTTCTAGCAACCTATTAGATGAATTAGGAGAATAAGAAGGTTTAAAGCTTCAAGGGAGATTATCCTGCTCTTCTCCACATGGCAGGCAGTGCTGATTAATGCTGTGTATTTCTTTAATCTCAGGGTTTGTAGGTGAAAACACCCAACCAATCCCAGAAAACAACATTGGAAACAGAATGCTGCAGAGTATGGGCTGGACCCCTGGCACAGGCCTTGGACCAGACGGCAAAGGGATAGCGGAGCCAATACGAGCCATCCAGAGACCAAAGGGACTCGGACTTGGATTTAGCTGACAGAAATGCACTCTGGCTGCACAATAAAAATAAAGCTCAAAATTAATTTAAAAAGACAAGAAAAACATTTTTAAATGGCAAACATATTATTTGTTGTGATCAGCAAATCCAGTTATTCTTCTCTCAAAGATCACTGAAGTCAGTGTGCTTCACATTAGCCACACCAGCTGCAAGGTACAGCCACAGTGACAGAACCGGCATTCGAGTCTAACTTTATAATGGTGCTAAAATGTACAAAAACTTCTACTTTTTTATTTTCTGTGGTCTTAAAGTTTGTATTAAAAGCATAAAATTCAGTATATTCACTTTTTTTCTTAAAAGCTTCTGACACAGCAGGTTTTAGTATATAAGCAAATTTTTTTTTGTAAGTATAATTTCATCTCGAGAGTCTTGATAAGATTTGTCGAGGAAAATGGAACTTCTTACAGCTATTGCTTTCTCCCCTTTTTCAGGAAAGTTTCCAAACCTGGTATTTCTAGTGTTTAACAATATTTGAGTATAAGCTGTCATTTTGCCCATAAGATATACACGTTTCCCACTGGAAGGTGATATGGTATGCAATTTTGTATAAGAGCGTGAAAAATGGCTTTGTTGTCATAGGAATGCCATTCCAACACCATTATCGGGCAATGTATCACTGTCTTCCACATTCAAGCTCAAAAGTAAACCTTTTATACTTGTTTTTACATTTACAGGATTATCTTTTTTCAGCAAATATTTTAAAAAGTTAAAGTTTATTCTGACTTTGGATTTCCCTTTATATTAATAATCCTCAGTGTTTCCACGTTTAAGAATAGTTTGAGCTTTGAACAAGGAAATTGTATTTTAAAGATGACTGTCTTTCAGTGTTTATATTCTGGGTTTGGCATATTTTAAACAATGCAGTGTTCAACATCATGTTATCATCTGGTTTGTGATTGTGCTGCTGCCAATGAGCCACAACCTCTAAGGATCATGAACAGAAAAAGGGCAAGGAGAAGCAGGATTAGGGTGGAGGAAAGGAAGGAAAAAGATACTTTGATGTCATCTCGCAAATCTAAGCTAGCAATTTAAAATCAAGAGGGATCATTAAGTGTTTTAATCAGTATCCTAATGTATCTAATGTCAGCAGAAGCAATTTCATTAAGCACCAACCAATCAAGCTCCTAGGGTACTTATTGGTCTGCAGTATAAAACAAATTTCACTTTAAAAATAAATGATAAGGCTGAAGGAAACTGTTGTTCAGATGGACTAAGGAGAAAATCCTGCCCCCCCTCCTGCTCTACTACCCGGGTAGTAGCTGGCAATATTTACCCTGACTGCAGAGGGAACAGGATTTGATTCTCCAGTCTTTTTTTCTTCAAGAGGAGGATCTCTCCCTTCCTCTGCCTCAAACTGCAGAGAAAAATACTTACTTGCAGATGCTTGCAAAGATATTTCTTTAGAACAGAAAGAGCACAGCTTCCTTCATGTGGCTGTGAAATATAGTGATGAATTTTAAAAAGTTTTTTTATTACTTTTCTTTTTCTGTCAGCTTCACCCCTTTTTCCAGAAAAATAATACTAGGAAAAGAAGTAGGAGCATTATAAGATTGAATTTGCTTAAAAGAAATGTTCATGCTTTCCACTGTAAGTACTGTCAGTTTGGGAACATTTTTTCACCATACACATAGTGTGGAGTAAAAGGTTAGTACCTGATACTGTTTTAATGATAGCTGAATGCACATGTTCTCTGAGTTTCAGGAGAACTATTTATTGCTGTTTAAATACTTGATACGATTGTGTGACTTTGCTTTTTGAAATGGTAAGAAATTTTAAACAGATTTGGGATTTATAATCAACACATACACTTTTTATTGGAAGGTTTCAGGCATAGCATAATGTGAGTTTGCCACTTCAGATATGTCTTGCACAACTAAACTGAATTAATAAATACTCTCCATAGCCAAAGAATTTCAGGGCCGCATAATGGCAAAGGGCTGAGAGTCTGGAATTCTGCAGCTAGCAGAGGTGTAAGTGATATTTACAGTAATGAATTTATGTGGCATGCTCCTGTTCTTTCCATGCAATGTGCTACTGAGAGCAAGTGAATTTTAAAGACCTCTTTGTATTGTACACCACAATCAAAAATTCCTTAAAACAATTTTCAACATGTGGATTGTGAAAGTGTGTCTTTAAGTTCTGGTTGGTTTAGCTCTATTTGCAAATCTGTAAAGGAATACTCATTCTCTGTTAAAATTCTACTGTTTTGCTTTGGTTACAACACCTACATATCTTGGGCTGGAAATTCTAAGCACGGTGCATATAACACTTATTGGAAAGTGTTTCTGTGCAGCTTACCATAGCAGTAGTTCCTCAAGACATCGGTCTGCAGCTCCAGAAGTACTTGAAAATGTTTCCTGTTAAAAAGATAAAAGGGAAATAATGGGTGTATGTTGAGAGAAAACCTCTTAGCCCATTTAGCTCTTTATTCATCCATTCGTACAGATACAGTGAAGAGGCCAACCTAGTAAACAACCATAAAGGAAGAACTGTTTAGTCTGATTGGAAATTTTACAACTTTTTGTTTTAAATCAGTCTATTAGTGAGAAACTATTAGACATTAGGATTAGTCAAATTCATTTTGATATAGATATACTTTGTCTGTTTTCCAGCAGGTATTCTCATAGATGCCACCGCTGACAGTCGACTTCAGCTGTTAGAAGATTTGTAGAACAATGTGATTTATTACAAGTATTTTAATATAGTGTTTTGAGACACATTTTTGTTGCAGTAAAATTCTCATTCTGACTCATACTATCATTTCATTTCTATTTTTCCACATCTTACAGGAGTGGTTTTAGCAATACTCCAGCACAGTTAAAACTAGTGTTAAAAAACAAAACAAAAATGAATTGTACTTTTTTTCTTTTTCAAGCCATTGCAGTGTTAGCTGGCTTTGAAACATGTCAGAGTACTTGGATTTATTGGGTTTTTTCTTCAGGTCTTTTCCATACTTAACTTGTAATCGTACTATGATACCTGCTATAAAGCTGGCTCAATGTATTTTAAAATACATATACAAGTATTTTCAGATAATAATTCTTAATCGCTGTGACACTGAAGGGTTTTTTGCCTACATAAATAAATATGGGATCATCTTGTATCTAAAAGTTATCATCCATCACTTGGCAGATTCTTTCCATTTAGGTGTTTGATTAATCAGTAGCTCAGCTGTTACCATAATATTCTTCCTCTGCAGAATGTTTAGTGAAGAGAGGAAACATTATATATTATCAGCATTGCATTTTGCTACATGTTCCATGGTGTCTCAAAGTTCTGTGAATTGAGCCATTAACTGTTAATAAAAGAAACCTGTGAGCAGTACCTTATTTTTAAATAAATATTTGTCGAAGTCAGAGAAGCATTATCAGTATACTTATTTTAACACATTTGTCCCTGCATTTGTCTTTCTGCAATTAGGTCAATAATGGGTGTAGAATGGCAGTAAATAGCTAAATAATATGTATAGAATGCTTTGCTTTAACAACACAAATGCAAGATGAAATAAAATAAATAGACTCTGTTCTTCATGGGTTTTGTATGTTCTTTTCTTTAAACTGCTGTTTTCAATAGTGTTGTTACTGCAGAGGTGCGTACAAAAGCATGCTGTTTCTGAAAATATAATTAAGTTTGCTAGTGTCTTGTACCAAGCAGATGCACATTATGCTAAAGCTATTATACTACCTTATATGTGTGTTTTTACTAGTACTTCTTTTCTAGGTTATTATTATTACCCAGCTGAAAAGGTTACACCACAACATCAGGAAGTGCCTTAAGATGTTTGCAGTACTTCTGTTATCGTATTCTTCTAAGACATTTAAATACAAGTTCTCTCCACTCTTTAAGTATGTGTATACTCTGATAACTGTGACAGGACCTTGTACTTTCTCTTCAAACAGTTCTTCAAAACTCTTCCTCCAAGGAGAACTCACACAACGTTTGTTTTACTTTCCCTCTCCCCACACTCCCAGGGCAGATTCAGTAAAGGCATATCAGAAATGGGGATCCTTTCCCTCTTACTCTAAAGTCAAGACACTTCTCAAGTGGACTTTCATCCTTAGCAGAGTTTTCAAAAGAAGTGGCATAGTTAGCACACAGCAATTGCATAACCAGGTTACCCACAATAGAGTCCCACACCTAAGGGCAGTGTGTGTGTGTGTGTAAGTCTGAAAAAATACAGTCAGAATTATTTCTTTATTGACCTGTAGTCTAGCTGTGGAGCTAATGTAAAATGTTAAAAGAGAAAATAGCATTTTTAAAGGTTGTTACATGTTTTTGCTTTGAGTTCTCCCTGGAAAAGATTTTATTATGGTCAAGTGGGGTTTTATCATAGCTACAGTATTCAAGATTGCAAATTTTTTTTTTTTTTTTTTTTTTTTAATGACCTGTCTATACCAGAAAAAGTCTTGGAGGAGGTGCAGCAATTTCAGCATGGATGTTCTGCTTGTCTCAAGTGGAGTTTTTTCACAAAAAAAGAATATGTAAAAACTTTACCACCATAGATTTATGTAAGTGATATCTACTATCTACTAAGCTATAAGAGAGTTTGGCCAGCAAAAGTATCAATAAACTCTTTAATGTAAGTGTGCTTTATGTTATTGTGAAAAACTACAAAAGCAACAAAAGTTTCATGATTGACTGGTAGTAGATAACTAGTGGACATGTTTGGTCTTCCTATGATTCTCTTCTCCTCCAGCAAAACAGTGGAGGTATTTTGACTGTGATGGTATATTGCTTGTATGTGAATATTCAGTCTTTAAGACTGAAAATCACTGAGATTCTGTAACCTTGATCTCCTGCACCTATGAGAACTGTGGTTATTAACAGCTCTCATAGTGTGCTTAAAGGGGGTTGAATTAGTTTGAAGTATTCCATATATAGAAAGTTACGATTTTGGCCTGATTAGCATTGCTATGATGAATTAAAGTATTGGGGAGTCTGAAATCTGAAACCGTAAATATAAGTCATTAGTCTCTGAGGAACGTATGTTTTATTGTAATATATTTACACTTATTAAATATGTGAGCTTATTATATTATTATTTTTCAGAATATTTGATCATAGACATGTTCAGTTTAATTGTGCCTTGTCCATAGTGTTGTCTTTCATCCTTTATATTTGTCCTTTTTTCTAAAAAAGTGTAACCCTATACATGTTTTAAGTGATAATACCCAGTGTTCGCTTGCTTAAATAATCTCATGTATATGCTAAGTGATGCCATTCAAGATTTTCTGTTGTTTCTGCTAGTCTGGTGAAGTTGGGTTTTTTGTACCTCCCTAGACCAGTTTTCTGAACGGCCTACTGTTGCCTTTGTCAGTTGTTGTAAGAGATTTTGCCACTGAAAACTTGAAATTTCATTATCCTGGGCAGGCTGATGTGGTGGGTTCTCTCTTTCCTGTGGCCTCAAGCCAGTGAAGACTGGAAGATATGTAATACTTTCTGCACATAAATATCTCCATTGACTTCAAGATGTGAAGTACTACATAGGTCTAAAAATAAGCATGCATGCAAGTGTTTGCAGATTGGGGCCATAACTTCCTTCCCTGTAAAAGATACGGATCCTAAATTTTCCATGGCATCAGAGTTCCTGCAGACCCCTGGAGTCAGCTGGCCCTTTGCTGGATGGTGCTGACCCATCGTCAGCATTGAGTTTCTTTAGAGCCTCTGTTTGGCTGCTGTAATGTACAGGTTGGCTTGTGGTTGATGTCGGTCTATCTATCCGTTAAGTACCAAATGCAGTACATCCCAGCAGCGCAGGGAGTTAGGGTGCTGTTTCAACCTGGAACCTCTCCCATTTTGCACAGCTTGAAGTAACACACAACAAACTGATCACACCAGGTTATCTGGGCCATAGTTGACTCCATCCAGCAGTCAGTCAAGTGTTGGGTGGTTGATTATGTGTGTGTTATGCAGTCTTTCATCCCAGCAAAGTAACAAGAAAGGGGGGAATTAAAAACTAAAATGTTTTCAATTCAAAAAGGATGTAGCAGAAAAGAATCATAGATAATTGAAGGGATCAACATCACTTCTGAGGCAATGATAAAACAAAATTTGAAATCTCTTAAATCTGGGGGCAGATGAGTTAAGGGAAAACATGCATCAGAAGTATGCTGAAGGAAAATGTAAATATCCCAAGTAATAGTTTCTCTACCTTACAAAAAAGTTGTCCAAGTTAGTGTTTGGCAAAACAGCCTCAATGTTTTGACTGACCTTTGAGGGATGCTGGCCGTTGTAGTACCTGAAGTAAATTAAACTTCTTATTCATCTGCTTTGAATCCTTTAAACCTCAGTGAGTCAGCGCATTTTACACTTGTCCACTCTCAAACTTACTTCATCTTCTTCTCAAGCATCACCAAGCATGTTGGTGCTGGGCCTCAGATAGATCCCTGTTTGTCCCTTTTTTTTTTTTTTTTTTTTTTTACATTCAACTTCCTTGGAAATTGCCTATAACATGGTTCCAACACATTATCCTCTAAAGTAGATTTAAGTGGTGCAAGGAGATTCTTTGAAGAATCAGAATAAATGGGTTTTGGTTTGTCCTCCCATAAAAAATTTCTGCATTTAGGTCCTTGATTTCTTTGAAGACCCTTAATCCTGTGAACCATACTCACATTGATTTCTTTCTTGCATAAACACAGCTGTTTTCTTACAGAATATTGTGGTGGAGGGTCCACTTGCATTTGCCAGTATGCAAATTCTTAATTTTCTGCTTTTGTTTTCAGCTCTTAAGAGTTAAGTTTGAATTCCACGTATGTTAGTTTATTTTTTTCAAAATGTTCTAGGTTACCTCAAGCTTCCAGATGTTCTGCCATTTGTGAAGAAAATGGAGTATTTAAGATTTTGTAAATGCCATACTCTGTATATGTGATGCTGGCCCACTCATTTCTGGCAGTAATAGATATGATATACAGGGTAGACTATACATACTTAAATATAGTTAACACAAGATGTAAAAATTTCTTGAACAATACCAGTAATACTCAGTATGTTAATTTGGACTTGACTCAAATAGTTCCAGTATCTGAGAGAACACTTTAATAATCTGTTACAGATTTCTTTTTTTATATGCCATGGTATGCCTTATTACTGAAATAAGATTTTGAGAGTGAACCAATAATAATTTTAAGGGTTTCCTTAATGTAATGTAAATAATAAGTAACACAATTACCAGGTTGCCTTTATACTCACTGTATTGTTTAAGCCGACTTATTTTTCATCTTCTTTTTGTCAGTGAGCATATGAATGGTAGTGAATTACAGTTCTTATTAAGTGAATATAGACAATTTCTACCTATTTATTACCCATAAAGACAGGTCAGCTGCTAAACAGTAGCTCTTGGCCAAGAATTTGACAGAACAAGAAGTGCACACAGTAATGTTGCTGTTTGCAAAAGTGTTGGAGCAAAGAATTTACCATCTAGAGAATCCTCTCACCTTTCAGCCTCTCCATCATACCTACCTGCAGTTTTCCCAGTAGGCATAGGGTTTTCCATGATGAAGGTTCGTTGAGAAATGGTGTAGGGGTTCAGACCTGCAAATGGTAGTCTCAGCACTTGACATTTGCCTGTTCTACTTCTTTAGTGCTAACACTGAGAAGTGTTCTCATAGCTGGTTTCCCTTTTGAACATCCGAGGCCTTGAGTATTACTCAGGGCTTCTGGAGAGCTGGTAATAGAGGCACTGTGAGTAGGCTGCCTCTGAGTATGACTCTTCCTCTCTGGCTTAGATTTAATAGAATCAAATCAGAATTTGCACTATGGTGTGCCAAATTCATGTCTTTAGAAGAAAAAAATCCACTCCTTAAAAATCAAGCTACTCTCCTACATGATCTAGACTCCATATTCATACAAAAAGTAAGAATTGTGTCCTTTGTGTCAGAGAACATTTATTCAGCAAAATCAAGTGTTTTATGGAATTGTGCCTTTTGTAATAAACTCTGGCCAAGACACAGTGTATTCCATGGGTACTTTGGAGACCAGATTACCACGTTCTTCAATTCTGGCTTTACCAGGTGCCCTCCATAGTCTATCTACTCAACGTCAGGCTCCCTCCCAGAAAATTAAAGAGCCTGGAAGCCTTTGACAGTTTGCAGCCCCTGAAACCTTCTGTCTTCAGGCCCCACAGCAAGGAGGTCTCACAGAGTTTCTCCGATCTTGCATGTTCACATCACAGAACAAAGAACTGGAAAAACTGAAATAACCTTGTGACTTCTGTAGTTCTGGTATAGCTCAGTCATTGAAGACTGCCCTGGCAGCAGTTTCCATGCTTCCAGCTCAGGAGGACCTGCGTCAGGAGACTGGGGACAGGGCTGCCCAAGCTTCCTGCTGGGGAGCCGCAACATGGGCACGTCTAGCGACTTCAGGTATGCAGCAAGGTCTTGGAGTACCAGCTCAGCAATGTACATTTTGAAAATACACATTCATGCTCTGCAACTTCTTTTGGAATTAGTGAAAGGCCCTGTGAAGGCGATACCATCTACTTAACTTCCACTGTCCACAGTAGTAACCATGTTACCTGTTGCCGCAAGTTAAAAGTATCAGTTGTCTTTGCTGTGAGGAGTTTGGGTTGTAGCTGCTCTCAATCACTGCAACCCCAGCAGCCGCTGTTTCACAGTGTGGTCTGCAACCGCCCACCCTGCAGACCATTGGCACGTTGACTCTGATGGGCTTATCACTTCAGGTTTAAAGAAGGGCCAGCACCAGTTTCTGAGACATGTTATCGGTAGCATCCTGTTAAGTGCAGGCTTGGACTTCCTGGAAGGGTCAAATATGTTGACCGTAGAGCTCAGTAGCCACATACTGTGGCTTTTTTTTGTTGTTGTTCCTGACGTGGGCTGCTATTTTACTATGGTTCATCTATGAGGTTTATACATTTGGCATGCAGGATCTGTTACAGATGCAAATTTTTAGGCAGTGGTTTGAAACAGAGATCGTTCCAAATGAACTGCTACAAGACTAATTGTACTGGACCATGACAAAAAGGTTACAATGTCACAGCAAGGAAAGTATCCTGTGGAGATTTTTGTCACTGTCCAGGATAGTGGCTCTTTAAATAATTTTGGCCAGAACCACATCCTTGGTCAATCAAAAAGGCAGAAAAAAAAAAAAAAACAAAGTTATGTTTTACTGTATAGTTCATTGAGAAAATGAAGTTATATGCCTGTATGTGTCTACACAATCACATGCATATAGATGTAGAACTCTACAGAAAACAGTGTAATACATAAAATTACGAAAACAGTAGTGAAATGCTAGGCCATTTGCTAAATGGTCACCCCACATACCTCACATAAGTGTGACAAAACCTCTGGTTCCGCTGAGCCTGTGTTACTTAAAAGGGGTGAGTTGCGTCTATGAAAGTCAATAAATCTGGAATGTATTGTTTCGTATTCTGTCTTTATGTAAACCTAGTCAGGTTTTTTTAGTTGTCTTTGTCCTAATCAGTGGTAAAGTGCATTTAATAGCTCACTTAAGGTGTCGTCTATTACTATGAGTTACTGTTAGAACTAATTAATAGAGCTGAAATTATTTTGTAATGAGAAATTGAAGTATTGCAGTGTTAAAAAAAAAAAATAAATTACCATTCATAGTTAATTAATGTTTAACAATGCAAATAAGCTGATAATTATTTTTCAGGCCATAGAAAAAATTCTGTGACACTTTATATACTACCTTTGTGATTCTAATTGTTTCTGAAAAATACCTTTAGAGAGAAATAGTCTGAAGAAATTTCTGTGCATAAAAGGCAGTTTCTGAAGTGCACAATGGATGAGAGCTCTCCTTTTGTTCATGTGGGGCTGCATTCAGCAGCTGTTTCTTATGGTAACTACTGATGAAGAGAAGGAGAAAGTAAGGGTCACAAAGGTAGGTGGAAGGCAAAATTATGTGGGATCTTGGCCAAAATTTTCTGGCTGCTTTAAGTCAGCCTTTCT